GGGGCTCATGCCTGTAATTCCAGCACTTTCGGAGGCCGAGGCAGGCAGATCACTTGAGATCAGGAATTCAAAATCAGCCTGGCGAACATGGCGAAACCCCGTCTCTACTAAAAATACAAAAATGAGCCAGGCATGGTGGTGGGCACCTGCAATCCCAACTACTTGGGAAGCTGGGCATGAGAATCACTTGAACCTGGGAGGTGGGGGTTGCAGTGAGCCGAGATTGTGCTATTGTACTCCAGCCTTGGGGACAGACCAAGACTTTGTCTCACAAAAAAAAAAAAAAAAAAAAAGGGAGAACAAAATACTCTGGCACAACATTGAGCAATATTCGTATAGGCATAGTATTAAAGTCCAGAAGATAATTTTAAGGGTTTATTATTAAGGAAAATGTCAAACACACGAAGTTAGAAAGCATAGTGTATAATTAACTTACACTCAACTTCAACAATTCTAAACCCCTTTAAAATGATCACTCCTTTAAAAATGACCACATTCCTATCATTCTAGTCTCCAAAGCAACAATATCATTAGCTATCATTTAATGTTCACATTTCTTCAATATTCCTGTGAATGTTGAATCAAGATTTAAAAAGTGATTCATTGCAATGCATTAACATGTCTTTTAACATTCTCTTAACTCCACAGGTTTCTCTTCCATTTCTTAAAAAAAAAAAAAAACACTTTTTAAAAAAAAATAGCAAACAGATTATTTCTCCTGTAGGTTCTCAGAGTTTTACTGCTTAAATAAATCAGAGCATTCCATGCTCATGGATAGGAAGAATCAGTATCATTAAAATGGCCATATTACCCAAAGCAGTTAACATAGTCAGTATTATTTCTGTCAAACTACCACTCACATTCTTCACAGAATTAGGAACAACTATTTTAAAATTTACATGGAACCAAAAAAGAGCCTCAATAGCCAAGGCAATTTTAAACAAAAAGAACAAAGCTGGAGGCATCACGTTACCCAACTTCAAGTAATACTGCAGGGCTGCAGGAACCAAACAGCATGGTACTGGTACAAAAACAGACACATAGACTGATGGACTAGAATATAGAGCCCAGAAATAATGCTGTACAAATATAACTACTACCTAATATTCAACAAAGCTGACAAAAACAAGCAATGAGGAAAGGACTCCTTATTTAATGAATGGTGCTGGGATAACTGGCTAGCCATATGCAGAAGATTGAAACTGGACCTCTACCTTAAACCACAAACAAAAATCGGCTCAAGATGGATTAAAGGCTTAAATATGAAACCTAAAACCATTAAAAAAAAAAAAAACCCTGGCAAATAACCTAGGAAATATTATTCTGGACATAGGACTTGGCAAAGATTTCATGATGAAGACACCAAAAAGGATCGCAACAAAACAAAAAATTGACAAATGGGATCTAATTAAACTGAAGAGCTTCTGTACAGCAAAAGAAACTTCAACATAGTAAAAAGACATCCTACAGAATGGGAGAAAATATTTGCAAACATGCAGCTGACAAAGGTCTAATACCCAGAATGTTTAAGGAACTTAAACAAATTTACAAGCAAAAATCAATCAGCCCTATTAAAAAGTAGGCAAGGGACATAAGCAGACACTTTTCAAAAGAAGACATAATATAGCAAACAAGCACATGAAAAAATTCTCAACATTACTCATCATTAGAGAAATGCAAATCAAAACCACAAAGAGATACCATTGCACACCAGTCAGAGTGGCTATTACTAAAAGGTCAAAAAGTAACTGATGCTGGTGAGGTTGTAGAGAAACACTTATACACTGCTGGTGGGAGTGTAAATTAGTTCGGCCCTTGTGGAAAGCAGTGTAGCAATTCCTCAAATAACTTAAAACAGAATTACCATTCAACCCTGAAATCTTATTATTGGGTACATGCCTGATACGGTTTAGCTCTGCGTCCCCACCCAAATCTCATTTTGAATTGTAATCCCCAAGTGTTGAGGGAGAAAGGTGAATGGATCATGGGGGTGGTTTACCCCATGCTGTTCTCATGATAGTGAGTGAGTGAATTCTCATGAGATCTGATGGTTTTGTAAGCACCTGACATTTCCCCTTCTTGTACTTCTCTCTCCTGCCACCATGTGAGGAAGGTGCTTGCTTCCACTTCACCTTCCACCATGATTGTAAGTTTCCTGAGGCCTCCCCAGCTGTGTGGAACTTTGAGTCAATTAAAACTCTCTCCTTGATAAATTATCCAGTCGCTTGTATTTCTTTATAGCAATGTGAAAACAGACTAATACAATACCCAAAGGAATATAAATCATTCTATTATAAAGACACATGAACATATATGTTCATCACAGTACTATGCACAATAGCAAAGACATGGAATCATCCTAAATGCCCATCAACAGTGGACTGGATAAAGAAAATGGGATACATATACACCACAGAATACTATGCAGCCATGAAAAAGAATGAGATTCTCCGTCTCAAAAAAAAAAAAAAAAAAAAAGAATGAGATTATGCCCTTTGCAGGAACATGGATGGAGCTGGGGCCATTAACCTTAGCAAACTAGTGCAGGAACAGAAAACCAAGTACTTCAGATTCTCACTTATAGGTGGAGCTAAACAATGAGAACATATGAACACAAAGAAGGGAATAACAGACACTGGCACCTATTTGAGGATGAAGTGTGAGAGAAGGAAAAGGTTCAGAAAAAATACCTATTGGGTACTATGCTTATTACCTTGGTGATGAAATGATTTGTAAACAAAACCCCTATGACATGCAGTTTACCTATTGAACAAAATTGCACATGTACTGCTGAACCTAAAATAGAAGTTAAAAATAAAAGCTATTTTGTGAAACTCTAAAAAAAGTTTCTCAGAGTTTGAATTTGCTGATTGCAGCCCATGGCATTATTGAACATAATTGAGATACATCAAAGACAATTAAGTCTATGCATTTGTGATGATATCATGAGATACTTTATTGATTACCTTTGGAGGAAAAAAGGAAATCAACTCACTAAATTGAAGGTTGGCAAATGCAAGGAAATAATTAGCATTTATCTTGAATTTTTTATTCAAACTATACCTTAGAAAAATAAAACAAAACAATTTATGAGGGTAAGTTTATCTTTAGAAATGTGTTTGAGCTAATAAATGAAGAAATGAGAGAATTAGAATATTACCATTTTGCAATCTTTTATGAATTAATGGTTTCTAACATACCAAAAAGAGAGCCAACCGGAATTATGTACTTCCTGGTGGAAGTACCTACAAACTAATCTTTCTATTTTAAAAAAGTCAAACTTGAATCTGATTGAGACTTTAAAATGAACTTATAAATACATATGGTAATATACAAAGTACATAAAGGAGACTAAAATTTTAATTAGCAAAATATGATGAAAATCATGTATGGAGAATAGAGAAAGCATATGAGAGAATGAAAAGTCCTCAACTTCTCTGATTAAAGGCCATAGATAACATCAAACTATAAAAACCATGATGCATTTATCAGTTAGAAGCATTGAGAGAAACATTATTCGCTAAATGTTTCTAAAGAGCTTGCCCGTGTGATGAGGCAAAGCATGAAGAGCTAAGAGTATTGAGTTTTTATTTATTTATTTTTTTGGACCATATATTACTTGAAAAATATTTTTAATATTTTTATTTTTGATTTTATGGGTACATAATAGTTGTACATACCATGGGGTACATGTGATATTTTGAAACAAGCATACAATGTGTAATTACCAAATCTGGGTAATTGGGATATCCATCACCTCACACATTTATCATTGCTTTGTGTTGGAAACATTCCAAATCATCTTTTGGCTATTTTGAAATATACAATAAATTATTGTTTACTATAGTTGTGCTATTGAACACTGGATCTTATTTCCTCTACCTGATTGTGGTTTTGTACCCATTAACCAACTCTCTTCATCTCTTTCTCTCCACTGCTCTTCCCAGCCTCTGGTAATGACCATTCTACTCACTACCTCTATGAGATCTTGTTTTTAGCTCCAACATATGAGTGCAAACATAATCATTGTCTGTGACTGGCTTATTTTACTCAATAAAATGTCTTCCACTTCCATTCATGCTGTTGTAAGTATCAGGACTTAATTCTTTTTTATGGCTGAATAATATTTCATTGTGTACCTATGCCATATTTATTTTCTTTATTCATGTATCCACTGATGAACACTTAGGTTAATTGCATGTCTTGGCTCTCATAAATGGTGCTGCAATAAACATGGGAGTGCAGAAATCTCTTCAATATACTGCTTTTCTTTCTTTGGAATGAGTCCCAGCAGGAGAACTTCTGGATCATATAGTAGTCCGATTTTTAGTTTTTTGAGGAACCTCCATACTATTTTCCAAAGTGGCTGTACTAATTTACATTTTCATCAACATTGATGAACATTCCCCTTTCTATATATTTTTGCCAAATTTTGGTGGTTTATTTTTTTGTTCGTTTGTTTACTTGATAGTAGCTATTTTAATTGTGGTGAGGAGATATCTTGTTATAATTTTTATTTGCATATTACTAATGATTAGTGATGTTGAGCATTTTTTCTTATACCTGTTGGTCATTTGCATGTCTTCTTTTGAAAAATGTCTATTCAGATCTTTTGCCTATTTTTAAAATCAGATCATTTTTCTGCTCTTGTTTGAGTTCCTCAAATATTCTGGTTATTATTCTCTTGTCAGATGAATAGTTTGCAAATATTTTCTCCCATTCTGTAGCTTGTCTCTTCACTTTATTTTTTCCTTTTGCTGTGCAGAAGCTTTTTAAATTTCTGCTTTGGTTGCTTGTGCTTTTGAGTTCTTACTCAAGAAATCTTTGCCTAGGACAGTGACCTGAAGTATTTCTCCAATGTTTTCTTCTAGTAGTTTTATAGTTTCAAGTCTTACATTTAAGTCTTTAATACATTTGATTTTTTTTAATAAGTGAGAGAGTGGGGTCTAGTTTTATTTTTCTGCATATGGATATCCAGTTTTCCCAGAACTATTGAAGACATACAGAATAGAGAACTCAGAAATAAATCCATGCATTTACAGACAACTTATTTTCAACAAATGTGACAAGAACATTGGGAAAAGGGCAGTCTCTTCAATAAATGAAAACACATTAAAATTTTTTAAAAATCTAAATTACGTGTCTTCTCCCAACAGAGTCAACAGCTATTACTTGTTATTCATTCTACATAGATTTTATGTGTATTGTTGTTGTTATTTGATAGAAATATTCTTTGTTTTTGGATGCTTCCAACCATTTGCCTGTTGGGAAGTTCATCTCCTCATGGTGCTCTATCACTCAGCAGCCCCCTTCACTATCAAGAATGTTCTGGCTTGGACAATGAATTTTAGAGCCATTCAATAAATAGCTACCACATTTTTTGCAACTTGAAAATTTTCCAAACTGCTCCAGTCCCTCAGACATTTCAGAAAAGGATTGGAAAAAAGCTCTTGACCATCAGTTATTGGAGAGAGTTCATAAGTTAGTGAAGAGAAGGTATCTCAGTTAAGTTTTTAACTCAGTCTTTTAAGTCAAACTGATTAACATGGAGGTGGTAGAGTGAGAGGTCTCTCTAAACAAAGGTCATATTTCATATCTGATCTTCCTAAGTTAGCAGAAAAGCAAACTGGTCATGAAGGTATAAACTATATATTTATATCTTTCCCTGTTACTTCCTCATTAGTGTCTTCTTTGTAATTAGCAGAAACTCTTGGAAATCAAGTTATTATTTCACATCAATTCCTTTTCTTTTTTTTTTGTTATGATACAGTTATTTATTATTGTGTAAGCCCTTATTAGTTCCTCCCTCATCCTATCTTAAAATATTCAACAATAGATAGGGGCTCAAAAATTTTTTTTAAAAAAACAGACTGCCTTGAAAACCAAATCTTTTCTTCCTGTGATAATAGTGGCCTCCTAGTGTTATTTCTTATTAATGGGAGTATCCATGGATTTAATTGTATATTGCATTTTAGTTCTGGTCATATAATTTCATGACTTCATACACCAAAAAAACTAATCTTGTCTTGGGTTTTAAAAAGAAAAAGTTACTAGTACCCATGGTTAAGGAAGGAAAACTGCAGCTCATTTCAATACATTTGTTTCTTTTCAATTCATGAAATCGAGCACATGCAAGAAACAGGATGACAGTCACCAAGAGTGGTTAAAACTACAAACTATCACGCAATTGAAAATACCACATTAAAGATATATTTATATACTGAAAATGGAGCAATGCCAAAAAGATTTTATAATTTACAAAAGTTACTTGTTAAAGGCAAATTTCATAAGTTGTGTTTACAATCATCCATTTAATCACCTCCAAAAAAAGGCTAAATTTATTATTTTAAACATTCTGTAAGTTAAAGAGAATAATCAAGTGGTCTCATGGACTGGAAGGTGACTTAATTCCCTTTCATTTCCAAACCTCATCAAGCAGTCACTACATTTATGAGATAAGTCAGCTGAATGCTTGAAATCTAGATGAATTTTAAGATCTTCAATTTGTCCTGTTGAATATGCACAATATTGACATAAATAAATCCCTTCAGATAAATGTGAATTTAAATGCTTGCAATATTCTAGCATACTTGAAAAGCCTTTCCCACAGTCATCACAAACATGAAGAAAAATTTTAGTATGTTCAATAGCAACATGCCCGTTAACATTTGTATGACATCTACTCCGAAAACCACATACTTGCCATACAAAGAAGTTTTTACATTTGTCAAAGGTAATTTTGCTTAAGAGGCTATACTGTCCATGTTCTCCATTGTTATACTTATAACTTTATTAATTTACATGCATGCTCATTTACCACATGGCTATGCAAGTCTTCTGGATCATCAGTTTCATGTTCACAGAACTGACACAAGTACTGTTCATCACAGCTGTGCTCCTGGAAACGTAGAGTTCACTGCTTGAGGAGAACTGTACATCACACTGTTCACACCAATAGAGGCGATCACTAAAATGGGAGTCTGCAATGTGCTGGCTGAGGTTCTCAAAAATTACTGTCTTATAATCACAGTATTTACAAATGTAGGGATCCTCTTCATGTAGTTTGGCATGTTCTATCAGAAGCATATTGGTAGAGAAACTTTCCTTGCATACTCGACACACATTTGAATCAGTACATTTATGCTTCAGGATCATATGCTGCTTTAAGTCAGAAAAATATTTGCTGTTAAACTCACAAAGTTCACATTTATAGAGGCCACTGCTATCAGCTCTCAGTAAAGGCCATTTCTGCTGGGCAGTCACATTCAAACTTGGCTCTTGTCAAGAATTTTACAAAGTTTAACTGGTGGTTCTTCATCAGTTTGATCTTGGAGACTCTCAGAGGAATTGTTTTCTGTCTCTATATCATAATCCTCAGAAATCGCATGCACTTCTACAGCAATTGGAACATCTTCAGTAGTGTGAACTTCTATAGGACTCTCCTCTTGGGTTTGCTGGTTGACTGATTCAGGTGAGTCACACTCTTCATCACAAATTTCAATACCAGCAGATTTTTCTGTAGAAAAGGCAGTGTGGTCTAGAATTCTAAGTACAGGACTGGGAACCAGGTAGCTCTGATTTCTGTTTCTGGCCTTGATTCCATCTGCAAATTTTGGCAATTCATTTGATGTCTTGGTATCAGAATCATCATCTTTGTTGTCAAAATATTTTAAATCTGGCTGTCTCATAGAACAGACACTGTAACAATGATCAGAGAAAATTCCATTGAATCCATCTGCAATTCTGCTTATTCCAGAGGAATCTGAATAACGAGAAGGGTGTTGAGTCTTCCTTTTTCTTTTTTTAGGATACTCATTCATATCTTTTCAATTTGGTGTAATTCTTACTACCTGAGTGAGGAAAAATGAATTACAATAAGTTTCTGTAGATGGTAAAAAATGCCCGTCAGTCCCCGCCCCAGGCCCACCCTGCCGGCCCAGGCGCAGCTCAGAGGCAGCCGAGGCCGAGGTGCCGGAGCGTGGGTGGAGGGACAGCGCGGTTGTTCCCACGGACGGGCAGCGCTGCTATGGCCCTAGTGCTCCTGGACCCTGTGTTGGGCCGACCCCTCTCCCTCTCCGTGCGCCCCGCCCCCAGCCTAGGCTCCGCAGCCGCACTGCCCTGGCCGCCATCAATTCCTTTTCAGTTGACTTTTGAATCTGAGAATTACAGTAAATATTTATCTACATAAAGCCAAAATGAATACTCACTTAATAACAAAGCAACTAACAACTCCTTTCATTTTTCTTTTTCTTTTTTTTTTTTTTGGAGACAGAGTCTTGCTCTGTCACGCAGGCTGGAGTGCAGTGACACCATCTCAGCTCACTGTGACCTCTGCCTGGCAGGTGCAAGTGATTCTCCTGCCTCAGCCTCCTGAGTAGCGGGGATTGCAAGCACATGCCACCATACCCAGCTAATTTTTGCATTTTTAGTAGAGATGGGGTTTCACCGTGTTGGTCAGGCTTGTCTTGAACTCCTGACCTCATGATCTGCCTGCCTCAGCCTCCCAAAGTGCTGGGATTACAGGCGTGGGTCACCACACCCAGCCTAAACTATTTCTTATCTCTATGGTATACAAACTATTCTCCCCAAATCTACCCTTCTACTCCTCTTCCCACATACACTTTTATACTTTTTATGCTTTTTTGCTTCCTAATCTAAACTTTCTAAGCTATGAGACAACAGAAAAGTCCCTTTCACTCCCCTAAAAATAGACAATTCTATCAAATAAGAACATGTATAAAAGGTCTTCTGAAACTTGGGAGGCTGTAGAGAAATGTTATTATTTCTTCCAAAAATGTTATTATTGTATTATTTCTTCTCAAGCACGTATAGTAGATGAGAAGAGAAAAGGCTGATAATTCATTATACATGTTCCACAACCTACACCAAAGGGTTGTAGAGATTTCAGGGAAATCTGTGTACTGAAACATTTATTAAAGATTAGATAGTATTTAATCATTTGCTGATATTAATTTTATATTACTTATATGTTTGATATATTTGAAAAAAAAAGTAGAAAAAGATCATTGTCCCAAATGGAGAAACAGAAAATATATGTTAATCATAGGCAATATCATAAATTAAAGAGTTAAATTAGTGGAAGTTTGATAAACAGCAGGGTTTTTAGTAGACTATGATTTTAAGAGCATTATTATGATCAAATAGTCAATAATAATAGTGATAGCTGGAATGCTTTTACTTGAGTTTCTCTCTTTCTCCCCTCACCCCCACTTGTCTTTATCTCTATCTTCACTCCTTTTGTTATCATTCACATTTCAATTTATTTTTACATACATGGTTTCTACTTACCAGTCACTTAAGAAGCTGAGCTGTAGATTCCCTCCCAAGATGGCCAAATAGGAACAGCTCCAGTCTGCAGCTCCCAGCATGATTGAGGCAGAAGACAGGTGATTTCTGCATTTCCAACTGAGGTACCTGTTTCATCTCACTGGGAGTAGTTGGACAGTGGGTGCAGCCCACAGAGTGCGAACTGAAGTAAGGTGGGACATTGTCTCACCCAGGAAGCACAAGGAGTCAAGGGATTTCCCTTTCCTAGCCAAAGGAAGCCATGACAGACTGTACCTGGAAAAGCGGGACATTCTTACCAAAATATTGCGCTTTTCCAATGGTCTTAGCAAATGGCACACCAGGAGATTATATCCTGTGCCTGGCTTGGTGGGTCCCACACACACGGAGCCTTGCTCACTGCTAGTGCGGCAGTCTGAGATCGACCTGCGAGGCAGCAGGCAGGGGGAGGTGCATCCACCATTGTTGAGGCTTGAGTAGGTAAATAAAGCAGCTTGGGAAGCTTGAACTGGGCAGAGCCCACCACAGTTCAGCAAGGCCTGCTGCCTCTGTAGATTCCACCTCTGGGGTCAGGGCATAGCTGAACAAAAGGCAGCAGAAACTTCTGCAGACTTAAACATTCCTATCTGACAGCTCTGAAGACAACAGTGATTCTCCCAGCATGGTGTTTGATCTCTGAGAGTGGACAGGCTGCCTCCTCAAGTGGGTCCCTGACCCCTGTGTAGCCTAACTTGGAGATGCCTCCCAGTGGGGGCCGACTGACACCTTATACAGGCAGGAGCCCCTCTGGGACTGAAGCTTCCAGAGGAAGGATCAGGCAGCAATATTTGCTGTTCTGCAATATTTGCTGTTCTACAGCCTCAACTGGTGATACTCAGGCAAACAGGGTCTGGAGTGAACCTCCAGCAAACTCCAGCAGCCCTGCAGCTGAGGGACCTGACTGTTAGAAGGAATCAAACAAACAGAAAGGAATAGCATCAACATCAACAAAAAGGACATCCACTCCAAAACCCCATCTATAGGTCACCAACATCAAAGACCAAAGGTAGATAAAACCACATAGATAGGGACAAACCAGAGCAGAAAAGTTGATAATTCTAAAAACCAGAGTGCCTCTTCTCCTCCAAAGGATCGCAACTCCTTGCCAGCAACGGAACAAAGCTAGTCAGAGAATGACTTTGATGAGTTGACAGAAGTAGGCTTCAGAAGGTCAGTAATAACAAATTTCTTCTAGCTAAAGGAGGATGTTTGAACTCACCGCAAGGAAGCCAAAAACCTTGAAAAAAGATTAGACGAATGGCTAACTAGAATAAAAGTGTAGAGAAGACCTTAAATGACTTGATGGAGCTGAAAACTATGGCATGAGAACTACATGATGCATGCACAAGCTTCAGGAGCCAATTCAATCAAGTGGAAGAAAGAGTATCAGTGATTGAAGATCAAATTAATGAAATGAAGTGAGAAGTTTAGAGAAAAAAGAGTAAAAAGAAACAAACAAAGCCTCCAAGAAATATGGGACTGTGAAAAGACCAAATCTACATTTGATTGGTGTACCTGAAAGTGATGAGGAGAATGGAACCAATTTGGAAAACACTCTTCAGGATATTATCCAGGAGAACTTCCCCAACCTAGCAAGGCAGGCCAACATTCAAATTTGGGAAATACACAGAACACCGCAAAGATACTCCTCGAGAAGATCAATCCCAAGACACATAATTGTCAGGTTCACCAAGGTTGAAATAAAGGAAAACATGTTAAGGGCAGCCAGAGAGGTTGGGTTACCCTGTAGCTCCACATAGTTACAAATTATTAATTTCTTTGTATTACATTAATTAATATTTTATAATGTGGAATATATGTTACACATACATTAGAAGTTAATGTTCTCCCTGGGAGCAATCCTGGATTATACATAATCAAACCCCTATATGCAATTAAAAATACATTTGATTTTCAGACATTTTTCACCTGTCTTGAGAACTTAGGAGGCAAAAAATTGACATAGAAAGAATAGACAAAATATGTCTTCATAGTCTAAAGTCAACCACACAATTCTATATTTTTATAATCCCATGGGCATGAAAAGCTCAGCAGCTGTGCATTAGGAAGTTCAAACATCATAGTTTAAGGTTTTAACTTTATAGTGTCTATAAAAACACAATATGTGGCCAGGGGAAGTTGTTTATAAAAAATTCTCAACAGTGATACTTAAAATAGTTTTAAATATGCTTTTTAAACTGAAATTTGTTTATATTTATAGACCATAAAATTCACTGATCTGATGTAAAATATAGTTTTAAGTGGCAGATTCTGAGATATTGATCTGTTTAAGCAAATGTCCTAGTAGAAACTACTAGGAAATAACTTTTTTTTTTCTCTAGCAAGATTCTTCATTCCTCCAACTCTCACTTCCACTCTTTTTCCTTTTCCTTCTTCCTTCCCATAGAATGTTTTTATTTTTTCTTATTCTTGCTCATCTTTAACATTCATTTCTTTGCTTCCTCTTCTTTTTTTCCTCCTTGCCATTTCTTCTCTTCTTTGTGCATTAGGGCTCTGCTTACTTCCCTAACCTTTTTTTCTGGCTGTTTCTCTCTTTCATTCGGTTACATTAAAACTCCTTCTGGCAAAATCTCTCCCTCAGATACATCAGAGCCCTTGAATGAAATGCCTGGAAAATTAATTCCATGTACCTTTTAGGAAATCTTACTCAAAGCTGCATTTTTCCATTAGAGATGGTTTCAAAGGCTGCATTTAACACACACACACACACACACACACACAGAGCCAAATGAGGCAAAGTTTAAGTGAGAAAACATGTGTGGAGCATTAAGCCAAATGACAGGAGGAGGGTTGCATTTTCAGAGAAGCAGGGAAGTTCTATAAATGCCTTTCAAATAAAACAAGAACACTTTTGAACTTTAAAAATCAGATTGCCAACACAGAATTGACTAAAAATAAAATTCACATTTAGTTTGAAAGACAATTACAGCTCAGCTTCTTTTTTTAATTTTTATTTTTATTTTAAATTATATGTTAAGTTCTAGGGTACATGTGCACAATGTGCAGGTTTGTTACATAAATATACATGTGCCATGTTTGTTTGCTGCACCCATTAACTTGTCACTTACATTAGGTATTTCTCCTAATGCTGTCTCCCATTGTCTCACCCCATGACAAGCCCTGGCGGGTGATGTTCCCCACCCTGTGTCCAAGTGTTCTAATTGTTCGATTCCTACCTATAAGTGACAACAAGCAGTGTTTGATTTTCTGTCCTTGTGATAGTTTGCTCAGAATGATGGTTTCCAGCTTCATCCATGTCACTACAAAGGACATGAACTCATCCTTTTTTATGGCTGTATAGTATTCCATGGTGTATATGTGCCACATTTTCTTAATCCAGTCTGTCATGGACATTTGGGTTGGTTCCAAGTCTTTGCTATTGTGAATAGTGCTGCAATAAACATACGTGCTCATGTGTCTTTATACTAGAATGATTTATAATCCTCTGGGTATTTACCCAGTAATGGGATTGCTAGGTCAAATGGTATTTCTAGTTCTAGATCCTTAAGGAATCACCACACTGTCTTCCACAATGGTTGAACTGGTTTATGTTCCCACCAGCAGTGTAAAAGCGTTTCTATTTCTCTACATCCTCTCCAGAACCGGTTGTTTCCTGACTTTTTAATGATTGCCATTCTAACTGGTGTGAGATGGTATCTCATTGTGGATTTGATTTGCATTTCTCTGATAACCAGTGATGATGAGCATTTTTTCATGTGTCTGTTGGCTGCATAAATGTCTTCTTCTAAGAAGTATCTGTTCATATCCTTCACCCACTTTTCGATGGGGTTGTTGATTTTTTTTCTTGTAAATTTAAGTTCTTCACAGATTCTGGATATTATCCCTTTGTCAGATGGGTAGATTGCAAAAATTTTCTCTCATTCTGTAGGTTGCCTATTTACTCTGATGGTAGCCTCTTTTTCTGTGAAGAAGCTCTTTAGTTTAATTAGATCCCATTTGTCTATTTTGGCTTTTGTTGACATTGCTTTTGGTGTTTTAGTCATGAAGTCCTTGCCCATGCCTATGGCCTGAATGGTATTGCCTAGGTTTTCTTCTAGGGATTTTATAGTTTTAGGTCTAACATTTAAGTCTAATCCATTTTTGATTAATTCTTGTATAAGGTGTAAAGAAGGGATCAAGTTTCAGCTTTCTACTTGTGGCTAGCCAGTTTTCCCAGCACCATTTATTAAATAGGGACTCCTTTCCCCATTTCTTGTTTCTCTCAGGTTTGTCAAACATCAGATGGCTGTAGATGTGTGGTATTATTTCTGAGGACTCTGTTCTGTTCCATTGGTCTATATCTCTGTTTTGGTACCAGTAGCATGCTGTTTTGGTTACTGTAGCCTTCTAGTATAGTTTGAAGTCAGGTAGTGTGATGCCTCCAGCTTTATTCTTTTGGCATAGGATTGTCTTGGCAATGCGGTGTCTTTTTTGGTTCCATATGAACTTTAAAGCAGTTTTTTCCAATTCTGTGAAGAAAGTCATTGGTAGCTTGAGGGGGATGACATTTAATCTATAAATTACCTTGGGCAGTATGGCCATTTTCACAATACTGATTCTTCCTTTCCATGAGCATGGAATGTTCTTCCATTTGTTTGTGTCCTCTTTTATTTTATTGAGCAATGGTTTGTAGTTCTTGAAGATGTCCTTCACTTCCCTTGTAAGTTGGATTCTTAGGTATCTTATTCTCTTTGAAGCAATTGTGAATGGGAGTTCATTCATGATTTGGCTCTCTGTTTGTTTGTTATTGGTGTATAAGAATGCTTGTGATTTTTGTACATTGATTTTGTATCCTGAGACTTTGCTGAAGTTGCTTATCAGCTGAGGGAGATTTTGGGCTGAGATGATGGGGTTTTCTCAATATACAATCATGTCATCTGCAAACAGGGACAATTTGACTTCCTCTTTTCCTAGCTGAATACCCTTTATTTCTTTCTCCTGCCTCATTGCCCTGGCCAGAACTTCCAACCCTATGTTAAATAGGAGTGGTGAGAGAGGGCATCCCTGTCTTGTGCCACTTTTCAAGGGG